AAAGTGCACACACACAGTGAACACACACACACACACCGTGAACACACACCCGGAGCAGTGGGCATATTGCTGCAGCACCCCGTGAGCAGTTGGGGGTTCGGTTCCTTGCTCAAGGGTCTCACCTGCTGGTTATTCACTCCCCCCACCGACAATTCGTGCCGGACCTGAGACTCGAACCCGCAACCTTCGAGTTACAAGTCTGACTCTCTAACCATTAGGTCATGACTGCCCCTAAAAAAGGCTGTCCTGGCAGTGGTGGGATGTAAAAAATGTAAATTAAAAAAATGTAATATTATTAATATTGAAACCTGCACTGCAAACTGTGCTAAAGATATGCATCATCAAAGTCAGGCAACACAAACCTGTTTCATGATTTAAAGCAATATCACTCATTAGAACATGCAGAATGTAAGAAATAATTTTTTTCTATTAATATACTTATTTTGTTAAGGAAAAACTACTGGAAAAGTGTAAATAAAAAGCGTGAAGTGTTCTGACCGTAAAGAGTCGTTTAAAACAATAAACGGTCTGGTTTAATAAACTTTCACTTAGGAGCAAAAATCTGCCTTTAAACTTGAAAGAAATAAAGATTTAAAAATGTATTGTGATAATTATCGATATTGACTTGTATGAAAAATTTGGTCCCACTTTATATTGTGTCTCTAATACCTGTGTACTTGCATAGTAACTAGATGTGTACATAGTATGTAACCACAGTGTAAGTACACATTGGTACATAGTATCTACAGCTCTAATGTTTGTGTAACTACACATGTAACAACCCACTGAATGGTATGTGAAAGTACAAATGTGTAACAGGACTAACAGCACTTTTTGGTAAAAAAAAGTGTTACACTTTATATTAGATTTATCATGTAATTACTCTGATATTACACAGCAGAGACCAGTAAGTTAGGCTTTACATATAAATTGTGGTTGGTGTCCAGAATGTTACACTTTATGTTAAGTGGACAGTTCCTGGGGAGTTACCATGTAAGTACACTGATATTACAGTGGTATTTCAACTCCACTAACTTGAGATCCAACTCCTCCCACTTTACATATCCCGAAACCTACCCATCTCCACCCGCTGGATCAAATGGTTCTAATTACTCTTATACATATTGTTGTTACAAAATGTAGTTATATATGTCCTGTTACACATTTGTACATACACAAACCATCCTGAGGGTTGTTACATGTGTGTAGTTACAGAAATATTAGAGCTGTAGAGACTATGTACCAATGTGTACTTACACTGTGGTTGCATACTACGTACACATTTAGTTGCTATGCAAGTACAGAGGTATTAGGGACACATAATATACAGTGGGACCAAAAATTGTATTGTAATTTTTTTTGGCCATATTGCCCAGCCCTAGCCTAAAATTGTGTTTTAATCAGATTTTGTCATTTTTTTCCCCCCACATTGGTACTTTCAGTAATAGCCTTGCTACAAAAATACCCTGTAATTTAGGCATTTGGCAAACCGCTTTAAAAAAAAAAAAAAAGTGATAGTGCCGTAAATTAGAATTGTAGAGAACCATTTAATTACTTCAACCTTTAATAAAACATCTTATAGTTATCAAAGCTTCAATTTTCCATAACACTTCCAAATACACAACAACGCAAGGCAAATTACACGTAGGCTTTCATAAGCAGTGCTCAATTAAATGCCACCAGTCAGGCGGTGTTATTCCATGTTCATTTTTATGTTCGTTCTTACATGTTAGTGTATTTTTTAGCCTATGTGTGCTTGTTCGTGTTTTATCTTGAAGCTCTTGAGGTCTGTGCTATTGTAGCGGATCAGCATTTGTATTTTTAGTCTGTTAGGTGCACTGTATTAATGAGTTTAATTAGATTCACATCTTCAGTAGAGGAAGAATAAAACCTTCTGTAATTAAACTGACATTCATGAACCGACATATTCATTGATCACATAATCGTTCTAGTGCACTGAAGGTGTTATTTGGTGTTAGCTTACAGTACATTCTGAGAAATGGGAAGTCAGCAATACTTGACAGGCCACATACTTTAGGAGACTGAAATATTTTTATCTTTGAGGTGCACTGATTAATAGTGGTATGACTCTGTTGTAGTTGTCTTTTCAAGTGCAAATCATGCCCGCAGCCAGTTTCATTGGTCTACTCACTCACTCACACATTCACCTGTCAAGAAAAAGTCAGACTTCATGAATTCAGCTAAGAGTTCAGAGTGACAAACAGTAATGCTGTCAATCAGGATGTGCTACCAATGCTGTACTTCATTAAATTTAGGTTAGGGTTTAGTATTTGCTATGTTGTTCTGGGTGATTGCCATAGTGTTTCTATTTTAGCACAGTTAAAACAGCCACCACCTAGTGTCTATGGCTACATTCAGACTGCAGGCAAAAGTTGTCCAAATTACAAAAAAGTTTTTAGCAGTATAAACAGCACAAACCACATGGAATCTGATTTTCTGAATTTTCTGTTCTGATTTGGGTCACTTCTATATGTGGTACTAAATCAGATACATGTCCAATGTTTTGCAATGCAACCTCAATCTGAACAGTCATATTGGAATTCATATGACTTTTACGTCACTCTAGATTGGCGTTATTTTTACATACCCGTAGTTCTTTGATTTTTCAGTTAGTATGCGTGCCATCTTTCTTATTGTTCTTTTGCACATATGAGTCAGGACCGTGATCAGTTCACATCTTCACACTCGAATCTGATATTGACCAAATTTTAAAAAAATTATATGAACAGGGAAACGATTTTAAAGATTTTAGCGAATTCTGTTGTTTTGTTTTTGATCACAGAGCAAAAATTAAGTTGCTGAAGTCTTACAGCTTGCTTATGAAAATGGGTTAATAACTTGCGACAAGTGGAGTTTGGAATGAGGAAATAAGAATGTAAATAGGGCAAAGTGTTTAGGGCATCCCCTGGTGGTATTTTTCTGTTTCAGCATTAGCATCCCAGAGGATGCAGTTCCTGTATTAAACCTCGAATGATTTATGTAGTGTTTACAAGAGGAAATAATCACAAGCTCTGTTGAAGACAGCAAAATGAACTTATACTTGCGCAAGGCTGCAGCTGGTTTCTCGCATGTGGCTCTCTGGGTCAATGTGGCCAAACCTGCTGTTGACTTAACCCAGTCAGACCTGAGAGAGCCAACCCTCAGCATCAGCTTTCCCATTTCCAGCTGCAGCTTGTTTGTCCTGACTCCTGTCTCTCACATTCCCTCACATTTTCCTGACGAAAGTGTCAGAAAGTTGAAAAGTGCTGCCTTTGTAGATACTAGTCAGCATACAGGGGAAGGAAGGCAGCAAGACACATCTGAATCCAATGTCAGTGGTGGGATTGGATGACAGGGTGTTTAGAGAGAGAGAGAATTAGCAGCCCAACTCCGTGAAGAAAGGAACAGGCCCTCATTACTACAATATGATGAGCCCAAGGCTGACGGATGTGAGCTAGCCAGGTTAAAGAAAACACAAACTCCTGTTAGCAAGAACCAAAGAAATGATAGCTTCAGTCAAACCGCAGGACAACTCGAGTGGAAGCATCACTTGTTATCTGTGAATGAATAAGGGCATGTAAACAGTATTCAACATCCTTGGAAGTTTTATTGATTTACATTGATTTTAGTCTTTTTGAGAGTGATAAAACGAATGATGTGCTGCAAATGCAACTATTTATTTAAAAATAAAATAAAAATGTCCTCTCTTTCCTGCATTTTACCTTCGCTCTAGCTTGTGTACTAATATAGATTCTAATTTAAACTTGGCATTGCTTACTAATGATTATTATTGGCTCATTTGTAAGTCTCTTTGGATAAAAGCATCTGCTAAATGAAAAAATTATAACCGTTAAAACATTTGTTTCAATTCAAAATGAAAATTCTACAAATTTGTCAAGATTGATCACATTAGTTGATCACATTTATTAAACACACAAAATATATATGCATAAGTATTCTAGTCAATATAGACATCCAACTATAAATTCTCATCTGGACTGAGATCTAGACTCTGATTTGGCTCATTAATGTTGTTGTTTATAAGCCATTATTATGTACTGTAGCTTTGTGTTGATGTGCAAGCATCATCTTTCATCTCCACAGAATGATTTTGCCACCACTGCACTTCACAGTGGGGACGGTGTGTTTGTGATGATGGACAGCGTTTGGCTTGCTCCAAATGGTGTGTTTAGTCTGACAGCCAAAAAATGGCTCAATTTTGGTCTCATGAAACCATAGAAGCTTCTTCCAGCTGGCTGCAGAGTCTCCCACATGCCTTCTGGCACTCTGTAGCCGAGATGCCATGTGACATTTTTGAACCGTGGCTTTCTCTTTGCCACGCTCCCATAAAGCTGTAAAACTGTCTCCGCAACTGAAGCTGAACTCAGAGTCTCATTAGTCTCTCAGTTTTTGGGGAAGATTTACAGCTCTGCCATACTCTTTATGTTTCTTAATGATTGATTTACTGATATACTCAAAGGGATTTTCAATTAGATTTGCCAAATGTAATTATTTTTGATTATTTTAGATAATTTTGAATAGATTTGTTTTCACTTTGACATTTGTCAGTAATTCGTCAAGTGCTAGTGCCATTTTTGAAGTGAATATTCTTTTATCTGATTCTCGCACCAAGAATCACAGACTACCATACTTTCAAGTCGTTCTTAACACAACAAACTTGCGCAGACATGAGCCTCGTTGCTGAGAGACAAATTAACAAATGAAAACAATGTGTTATAAAATTGGCTCAAAATACCAAACACGTTTGTTTTCCTCCAACTGGATCAAATCAATTCTGAAGTTCAAAAAACCAGAGTCTGTGCCCATCATACACTGTGTAATTTCTGTGAAGTCTGTCGATTCTGGCTGACCAAAATCTGCAGACTGGCTCTGACTTGCGGCAACTAGTGTTGACTCATCAAGATTGCAAAACATGGCAAAAAATTTGGGCAAAATGAGTGTAGTGTATTTTGTAACATGATTGTTCTACATGTGTACAGGTCAGAGTGGTTTGGGGAAGTCCACACTGATGAACACACTCTTCAAGTCTAAGGTGAGCCGTAAGTCTTTCCAGGGCACGGCTGAGGAAAAGATTCCCAAAACCATCGAGATCAAGTCCATCAGTCATGGTAAAGCTGCACAGCTGGATCCATTTTTTTTATTGAACTAGAATTCAATAAAATCTTAATTTCATCAGGTTTCAGTGGACATGCTTTTTTGAGTGCGTTAGTTGTATGATTTAATATTGTCGTCCATATTGTAAACAGATATCGAGGAGAAAGGAGTTCGAATGAAGCTGACGGTCATAGACACACCAGGGTTTGGTGACCAGATCAACAACGAGAATTGGTAAAGTAGCCTCCAGTTTTATTATGGTCTAAAATGTGCTTCGTTTAGTCAGGTCCTCTTCTGTGAAATAGAAATGACAATCTAAAGCAGTTCTGTTAGTGTTGGCTGTATAGTTTTGTTCTGGGCATGCTCTGCACCCATCTGTGAAGCCATGCTTGCAGATCATCAATCAAACTCTCCAAAATAAAACCACATGCCAACATTCCCAACTATCGAAGTGATGGTGATCAACACTTCATCTTCTATGAATATCCGACTGGAAAATCCTAAGAGATCAATGTAGTGCCGATCACTCTTAGTCTAGAGACATTTTGAAGGAGAAGTGTCATTACATTTATTTCTCATTCATCTCCTTTCAACAGTTGGCAGCCCATAATGAAGTTCATCAATGACCAGTATGAGCAGTACTTGCAGGAAGAGATCAATATTGACAGGAAGAAGAGGATCCCAGACTCACGAGTGCACTGCTGCATATACTTCATACCACCCACAGGACACTGGTTAGTAAACATACATATGTGTACTTTAGAAGTGACTTGAAACAGATCCTCACTTACCTAAACATCCATGTGAACATAAAGACGCTTTGAATACTCAAACTGTGTTCAAGGATCACTCTAAAGGCCTTGTGCTGCATATACCTCATGTCTAGTAACTAATATCAGCTCTGTTAGCATGAATAAGTGTTGTACATTGCCTGCCTAATGATTATGTACAATAAAGGGGGGAAACTCTGTGGGAAAGGATGGTTAGGAATGTCAGGGCCTCCAGAGGGCAGTACTGTTCTTTCTGCAGAATGAAGTGTTGTTCAGTGTATAGTAAATCAAGACGAGCTGGGTCTTGATATTTGATTTTTGCACATTCAGTTTATACTTGAACACACTGTGACCAGATAGGCTATAAATACCCCCTAATACTTGTGTTCTTGTGACCTTTTTTAGAAACAGGAACTGCCTGGGCATCTTTTGGTTTAATAATTTTAGCTTTAAAACCTGACCTGCTTGTAAAATTGGTGTGGAGTAGAGTCACCACACTTATTTTAACAAGACCTTGTATAACGCATTATTGCTCGACCTTTGACTGGAAGGGCAGGCTTTTAACAATGTGACTCTTACAGAAACATTTAGGGATCCAAAGAGCATTTTTCCAACTTAATTTCAGTATGTGGTTCTTTGGGATTTTAAAATATTTTATAGATTGAAATACACTTTGCCCTCCTGAGTAGCTACTGTTTACGTCAGGGATTTGTATTCACTGTTTACCATCAACACATTTTCTTGTTGCATATAATAATATCTTTGTGCCAGATTAAGTGGGTGGTCTGTTTCACTCTGATGGATAATCATTGTGTATGCTTGTGTTTTTATAGCTGTTGTTGGCCAGCTCGAGTCTCCAGGCATTCTGCCTTCTTCTTCATGTACTGCAGGATAGTTTTTAGTGGCCTTTAGAATAAAATGTGTTTATGGACTAAGAAGTGTAAAGCAAACCACCTAAATAGAGTTTATGCCAAAATATTGATCTACTTGGGTTTAATTTGTGTCAGCAGAAATTATTGAAATTTATACTACTGTGTATGACTTGTACATAAGTTTCTATAAAAGAAAAAAATCAAGTGTGAAAAATATGAATTGAATATTCAGAAGTGTTTTTTAAGAGGTCTCTAATGCTTACTAGGGCTGTATTTATTTAATGAAGAATACAAGCATCAGTAATATTGTGTTTTCTATTTGAATATATTTTTTAAAATGTAATTTATTCCTTATTGATGCAAAGCTGAATTTTCTGCGTCATTACTCCAGTCTTCAGTGTCACATGATCCTTCAGAAATCATTCTGATATGCTGATTTGCTGCTCAAGAAACATTTCTTGTAATTATAAATCTTAAAAACCGTTGTTCTGCTTAATATTTGTGTGGAACGTTGATACGTTTTTTTTTATTGTTTTGATAAACAGAAATTTCAAAAGAATTGATTTGCAATAGAAATATTTTGTAACATAATAAATGCCTTTACTGTGACTTCTGATCAGTTTGAGAGATCATCCACCCATCTATCCAACCTATTTTTAAAAAGATCTAAGGACCGTGAACACGTATGCCAACCACACACCCATGGATTCGGTGTCCTGAGTGTGAGTGCAGGCCTTTCTGTGAATGACTGACTGTTTTATGTCCATCCAGCACTGCAGATGTCACTGCTCAGCAGCTGCATCCTGGCTTTGAACAGCTCGGCTAATTAGAGTCAAACTGTCAGCCACAGAGACTACAGTCTGGGTCTGCTGCAGTCACACAGGCAGGAGATTTTGTCAGTTCTAAGAATCTGTGCCTTTTCCTTTTCAGTTTTTTTCCATTTCACTTTCGAAGGTCTCTTTACACCTCTGTTAAAGCATTGCGTGAACAATCTTTCCATGCCCAAGCATCTTTAAGAGTGTGTGTAAGAACGTGTTTATTTTGGGTGGTTCTCGCCCCCTGGTGGTTAATGTGTAGTCCTGTTAGAAGTAACTTGGGTTTCATTATATTGCTTTTAAGAAGTGCAGTCCATCACATCTATTTCTCCTTTGTCATTTCCTCAGTCTTAGGCCTTTGGATGTGGAGTTCATGAGACGTCTTAGTAAGGTGGTGAACATCGTTCCTGTCATCGCTAAGGCTGACACCCTGACTCTGGAGGAGAGGGACTTCTTCAAAAAGAAGGTGAGCTAAACTATGACTTACAAATGAATGGCTGTTATTGCTTTATTCTTTACAGAGTTAAAGTTAATGTGCTGCTGTACTTATTTTTTTATTTATTTAGATAAAATATTGTAGAAACTGTAGAATATTCAACAGAACCGCTTCACTGTGTATTAATATTTGAAAAACACTTTCAAACTGAAGTGGCGTAAAGTATCTTTAAATAACAGATCATTTGACATTTTTATGTCTCGTGGTGTGGCAGAAATACCAACTTAATATTAGATTTTATGTTATTTGTTTATTGAATATAGGAAAATAAAATAATTTACATATATTTTATTAATACGTTGTTGAAAATATTGAGATTAGGATGTGTACACTCACATGTATTCAAGGAGTAAGGAACATTTTTTTGTTTTTGGTACATTGCACATTACTTTATGAGTCATTAAACTTACATTTTCTTGAAAATGGCATTAATGTTTTTCAAAACCCTATTTCTGTGTGCATTTCTAAAAACTTGCCGCATATATTTTTAAAAGATTCCTTTCCTTAATCATGGACACTTATTTTTGTGCCCGGCATTTTGTATGAGAATCAGACAAAATACAATGTGGATCTTTGTGCGGCAAGCCCCGGTGGAATATTGTGAATACCACAAACCGATGCATCGATGTGTGGAAGAATAGTACATGCTGTCTTGTTGTTATTCTAGTCTTTTTCTTCCCTAAGAGATTTCCAAGACTGCAGATGGTGTCTCTACAGCTTCTACAGAAACACTACTGCTCTGTCAAAATACAAATGCAGTTTTATTTATGATGTGATGGTGGATTACTTAAGACAGAATGCATGGCAAAAAAACAAGCACTGTCTTGGAAGTCTTAAACTTTTTTTTGTTGCTTTTGATTATTCTGAAACAAAGCTGCAGTGGACTAGTTTGTTTATGCCGTTTTAGAGCACTGGTATGAGTCTGAGATGACACATGGTATGATGAAGTGTAGGTAAGCAACATCTGTTCTGGGATTGTTGGTTGCGTTTCACATAGCAGTAAAGAAGTACTCTCCAACCTCAACGGCTTTTTGTGCTTGTGCTGGCATGCCTCTTACAGGAGGAACACATGCAGTTTGGAGCACAGGCACAGATATTTCTGTTTTGGAAAAAGCTCCTGACAGATTCCAAAAGCATTTGTTCTCTAACCAGGAAGGGACGAAAAGCCAAACTTAGTTTAACTTCAAGGAAAAATGAGAGTTTCAAAGTATGCTCACCCTGTGATGTCACAGTCCAGTCTTGCACAGAATTGCTGTATTGAAAAGAAATGTGTTTCTTTTGATATTCAATATATATTATCGAGGAATGGTTCAAATGAAGTGTTTCTAAGGATTGCATGATTTTATATATACAGTACTGTGTCATTTTGTATAGATCAGGCAAGAGCTTCGAGCCAATGGGATTGACGTCTATCCACAGAAAGAGTTTGATGAGGATGCGGAGGACAGAACGATCAATGAGAAAATAAGAGTGAGTTTGGAGTACATTTAGAAAATATCCATAGTTCATTTAAGAACATGGTGATATTATCTGTTTCTTTCCTCTGTCCTTTAGGAAATGATTCCTTTTGCAGTAGTAGGAAGCGACCAGGAGTATCAGGTCAATGGGAGAAGGCTATTGGGAAGGAAAACAAAATGGGGAACCATTGAAGGTATTGTGACTCTTTGGTCTCTAAACCTCTTTAGAGAAGAGAGAGGGAAAGTGATTAAGCAGACTATGCAGACAGCTACATTCCAAAAGCACATCAAGGGAGCTCATTAACCACAGACACACGGCTATGAGTCAAACATCAGAAAGCCTTATCCTCTGTAAATGAGGACCCATTCTGAAGACCATTATGAGTGCGTCATTTTGCCTGTGAGTCAGCGCGCTGCTGGACAGTTAAATGCCTCCATTGATGAGGACTTCACCATTTCCCCTTTTGCCCCAAGTAATTTAATTATGTATAATAATAGTACTTATTACTTCGGGATTCTTTGATGAATAGAAACTGCATTTATTTGGAATATAATTTTTTTGTAACATTAATATTGAATTTTAGATTATAGCATATATGTGACCCTGGACCCTTGATAAGGGTCAATTTGCTTTCCTATAAATAAGCTTTCCATTTATGTATGGTTTGTTAGGATAGAACAATATTTGGCCGAGATACAACTATTTGAAAATCTGGAATCTGATGGTGCAAAAAAATCTAAATATTGAGAAAATCGCCTATAAAGTTGTCCAAATGAAGTTCTTAGCAATGCATATTACTAATCAAAAATTAAGTTTTAATATATTTACAGTAGGAAATTTACAAAATATCTTCTTGGAACATGAGGTTTACTTAATATGCTAATGATTTTTGGCATAAAAGAAAAATCAATAATTTTGACCCATACACTGTATTTTTAGCTATTGCTATAAATATACCCCAGCGACTTAAAGGCACAAAATGTAATTTTCGCCACTAGAGGGCGTGTATTCAAAATAAACAAATAGACAAAGGCTTAGTTTGATGACGCTGTGACTGAGTGTGGAATCATGGGAGTTGTGGTCTTCATCCCCACAGCCGATGCAATCTGACGGGACTCGGGCAGAAATCATGTTCATGGATGAGCTAATGATTTATTAACGTAGTAGTTTGAAGCAGAGTGAGGCGGAAAGCCGTCAAAGCGAAACGAGGCCGCTGAACGAGCGTGACACACACCTCAAAAGCAGCGCTGTTTTATCATACTAGATACATTTGAAAGTTCTGTTATAGTGCTACTCTGTGCGGTCGTCACCTGTCTATTAAAACACAACATATTAAAGTGTCTTTGGTGTTTCCATGTTTTCTACAAAACGGAAATCGAGGGGTTATGACGTCATTGGCAGGTGACACATTGGCACTATAGACACGGTCCGTGTCACTAGTTAAAATTGCTTATTTCTCTGGATTTAAACATTCTTCGAAACATTTGGGATAAAGTAAGTACACAAGTCAGCAAAATATATAACACTGTTCTAGTGGTTTTTGGATATTTTAATAAAAAAATCATTACATATTGTGCCTTTAAGACCAGGGTCACATATTATAATTGTAAAATTCTATTATATTATATCATTTATACAGACTAAAGTCTTGTCTTATTGTAGAGTAATATACAACCTTGTTTGAATAGTAACTATCTGGGTGGTTGATGTACTTAGCAGCTCACATAGTAAAAACTCTTTAATTTTAGGTGAGATGTTTTGAGTCAAATGAATGTAATTATCCTGTAATCTTTCTGAAGAGTTTGACTCCTCTTATTAAAGTCTCTCTTTGAAAACCTTTAATTTCCTGCACTGGATGTCTATTTCATGGTGGCTTTCTCGTTCTCTTTTGTGGAGTTTGACGTAATCTATAATTCATAAACATTTCTTCACATCCAGGCAGCTGTGGATTTGTCCCACTGAATTTGTCAGGCTCTCAGGGTTATCTTTCTGGAAGGCTTCGGTTTAAATTGAATTACTGGAGATTGGGGTGATTCTGTCTCATCTCTGTCCACCTCTCCCCGAGTATACCTGCAACAGCTCCACCGAGTGAACAAGTGCTTATTGCTTTATGTGTTGCTCCAAATGGCTAGAGAGAAATCTGATCAGTGCTCTCTGCCTTCTGTTTGTAACTCTTGTGTCTGCTGTGTTTTGGTGTCTATAGTTGAGAATATTGTCCACTGTGAGTTTGCCTACCTGCGGGACCTCCTCATAAGGTCAGCGGATTAAGTCTATGTCTGTGGTTAACAAACAGTATTACAAGTATACCCTTGTGGAAAAGAAGTGTGCTTCATTGTCAAATGTACTTTAATTAAGGCCATTTAAGTTTAATCAAGGAGTACAAGTTTCTGACTGTTTCTTAAAACACTTAAGTACACTTAAAAAGTGCTCTTTGTAATATATCAAATTTGACATATTACAAATTTGTTGTCAAATTTGTTGTACTATTAAAAGTAGATTTAAAATGTTTTAATAATCGTGCTTCAAAGAAGTACACTTATTTGGGTGTGTTGACTAACATTCTAAAGGACATGTACTTGATTTATAATTTTAAAGGGGTCATATGATGCTGCTAAAAAGAACATTATTTTGTGTATTTAGTGTAATTAAATGTGTTTATGCGATTTAAGGTTAAAAAAACACATTATTTTCCACATACTGTACATTATTGTTTCTCCTTTATGCCCCGCCTTTCTGAAACGCGTCGATTTTTACAAAGCTCATCGGTCTGAAAAAGCGAGGTGTGCTCTGATTGGCCAGCTATCCAGTGTGTTGTGATTGGCCGAATTCCTCAAGCGTGTGACGGAAATGTTACGTCCCTTAACATATTGTGATGCCTGCGGCAACCACATGTGACGACCCCGGGCTGGACTCCGCTTCGTCCACGGTGAAAGCCGAGCCGGCAATCAACAGCGCGAAGTTGATGTATTTCCTCAGCGACCAGCACGGATCAGCTCCAGGCATGACGAAGCAGATATCGTCCTCTTTTGGAAGACCAAACAAAGTAGTTTCGCTTTCACAACGATGCACACAGCGCCTTCACGACATGGCGGCGGCAACAACAATACTACAGCGAGAATAAAAGTTATGCCTTCTTTCTTTGCGTGAACATTTGGGTGGCGTTATGCAAATCTTCCCACATCGTGACGTAGGTATGCGGGGGCGTGTTAGAACGAGCCGTTTTAGGTAGGCGTGGCTGACTCTTCACTTTTATAAAGAATATCTCTTTGGATTTGAGACTTTAGTCTTCGCAACTTTACAGATCTTCTTTATGCACCAAGAGCTTGTAACACTCCAAAGAGAAAGGAAAAATTTAAATCGAATCATATGACCCCTTTAGCTGTAGTGTTATTTAACATTTTAAAGTTAATATATTTTCAATGTACTAAATAGCAACTTCATTACAAATGTGTAATTACAAATATATTTAAATGCATGACATACAGATTTTAATAGAAATGACATTACAGTATATTTTAGTTTACCATAAATCCTTATCAGGATATTCGACAGTTCACGTCAACCACATTTCTAAGACAATAGAAGTAATTATGAATTTGCATTTAATTGCAATTAACATGGACTGAAGTGTCCGAAAACATTACATTCCATTCACACTTAAGTATGTTGTTTGAAAGTAAATTAATTCTGTAACTACTTTTTAAAAGAATGCTAAAGTGTACTTCTTTTTCAGAAGTGTACAGCTGTCACTAAATTTTGGATGGTTTGTCCAAAAATTTAATTCTGTCATCATTTGCTATTTGCACGTCACATTGTTTTATCCATACGATGAAAGCCAGTCAAAGTCAAAATCTTGTTCAAACATTTTGGAGTCATTGAATGGACAAAAAGCAAAACAAAAAAACAGGCATTTTTCCCAAATATCTTTTGTGTTTCACGGACTAAAGTAGGATAATAAAGGTTTGGACCTTTTTAAGGGTCAGTAAATGATGACAGAATTATCATTTTTGGGTGAACTATCACTGCAAATCTAAGTGAAAGTGTTAGTGACTGACATCTGCATTATTCATTACCCATCACGCTGGGTTGGTTTTTGTCATCCTAATGTGTTATCGGCTCATGTCCTGCAGAACCCACATGCAGAACATTAAAGACATCACCAGCAGCATCCACTACGAGATGTACCGTGTCCGTCGGCTCAATGAGAATAACACCCAGGCCAACGGCCTCGGAGAGCACCATCCGGTCTGCCGTGAAATCTAACACCCCTCCAGCGCTCTACCCCCCCATTCCTCACTCCTCTCTAATCCCCAAACCTCCATTCACCTTATGCTCTGTCCCGCCCCCTTCCATCAGCCATGAACTGAGGTGAAGCGGTCCATCTAGAGAAGCACATAATGACTTTACCTCCCAGAAACTCCAGCACAGTGCCCTCAAATCCTCACGCCCACTGCATGGGCACTGGAGGGCCGAAGAGGTCAAAAATACAACTGTTAAAGAGCTTCTCCACATACTGCATGCGTTTGACTCACTCTGCTGATGCTTCAGGTCTGTGTCTGTCTGCAGAGGTTGATTATGAGGCCGGTTCTGATTGGTCAAGCTGTGGGAAAAGCTCTTCACATGCATCACTCCTCCTTTTGATATTGGAATGATTTTACAGGAGATTGCTCAGAATTCTCCTTTTTATGTGATTTGTTGAATGCTCTCTTAATATTTATGCTTAATTTTGAGAGAGCCAGATAAGAGACAAGGCTAAGTCATCTTTTGAAACCAGAGCTGATGTGACGGCACCTTAAAATTTCCATTCTGCATTATAAAACTACAGGTTATCTGATGTCTTTCCCTGCTAAATGAATACTAGTTGCCTACGGCATTGTGGAGAACCTTGGTGTGCCACTGCTATTTGTTTGATCACATCCGTGCAAATAATTACAGGAAAACTGACTCATTGGACCCCCGCTACCATATAAAAACAGTAATCTTTGGGATTTGTGTTGGAAAGGTTATCCAAAATGAGTAGTATTTATGTTGATTAAATGGGATCGTAACATGCTTTAAACAAACGATCTTATTTATTGCAAAATGTGACCTGAACTAGAAGGAGAATCGCAGTGTGTTCAATAGGCTTTTAATTAATTGTTTAATAGTTTTTTTATCAGGCAGTATTCAGTGCCATTTATCTTAAACCTTCCAGACTGCCTCGTTCTCTTCCATGCCTTATATGTGGAAATCTGCACCATCTTTTGTCAGTTTAGGTGTCTCGTTTTGTCTTAGCCCAGAGGAAAGAGCCTACAGGAGAGGAAACTCAACGTGCCATGATGTCTGTGTGCCTTAAAGCTGCCTGCCTTGTCTGATGAGGAGCCACTTTTAAGAACGGTGAAATTCCTCAGGCTTTGTTCTTGTCTGCAAACCTCTTTATAAATGCTCGTCATTGGGAAAATATCTTTGTTTTGTCCTGTGCTGTATATTCATAGTGATTAAATTTTTGTATTGGTATTCAGAGTAACACAAATAACTTTGATGTCCTGTTATTTTAAAGAAATAAAGATTTAAATGGTAAATAATTATTTTGACTCTTTTTATAAATGATTAATTGACTCTTAAATGTGTCTAGATGTTGTAATTGCTCACATTTTGTAGTACTGGGAAACGTTTAATGACGAGTCCTGTTTTCCACTCCATGAGTCATGATTGTTTTTTGTGCCACATTTTCCATCGAGGTGCTAAACTAAATTGTCAATCAGGTTAATTGAAATGAACCTTTATTAAAGCCATTTAATTTTGGCGATCATTTGACATTTGCTCTTCTAGAAGTATGTGAAAATTGCTTATTTCTATTGCATTTCCCTAGTAATTACTTTTATCAAAGAGGTTATTGTATATGAGATGCATGGAGTTGATTCTAAACAAGCACCCAGGCCTTTCTAACTAATATCTTATACACTAAAGGAATGTCCTCACTAGCAACATCTTTGACATTGTGATGTTGCATGTCTGTATTTACTGTATGTCCCTCACCATGCATCTGAAAATGGAGATGTGTTCTCATCACTCTTAAAAGGGCGCCCCATTTTCTCACCTTTAAAGAAACAGATGGTGCCCTGATTTGCTTGCACCTTATGTCTACACCTCTGCCTCTCAGCTCACAAAACTCTCTTTCCCAGGGATTCCTTATCTCCTGTATCCCAGGGAATGAGACCGAGAGGCAGTTGTTTTCCACAATGGTCTGTTTGCTCTCCCTCCTTCCTGCTCCTCCCATTATGTGTGGCAGCACCGCTTTTGCATGTTGCTGTAATTAAATTAATTTGCCGTTTGAATGAGCATAGTTTGTCTCTGGATGCCCTCTTCATGAAGATGAGAGAGCCCTTGGAGTGCACTTCTTATGGGCAAGTCCCCACTGTTTACAAGGCACTAAACTCTTTATTTCACCCCTGATAGCTAGTTCCTTTCTCTGCATATTTGTTTGCTATCACTCTAATTAGATGCTGTCTTGTCTCATCTACATTCAGGAGGGGCAACTGCTGTCATCTGACCAGTTGAAGATGCTTCCTGTTGATGTCAAACAGCATTTTGGAAGAAATTCATGAGTCGATAAAAAAAATTCTGTACATTTCCAATAAGTTGAATTATTTTGATGTTATGGCTGATTTGTAAAATGCTATATTAGGCTATGTCTAAAATTAAAAATAGAGTCATCTAAAATAGTTTTAAATGCTAGGAGTGAATTTAGGCATCGTAACGTTATCTAAGGTTTGAAAAACGGATATTCAGAGATTCGCTAAAGGTCACATTTAACAGTGATATTAAATTAGTGTTTTTTAAAATTAAGTGATGGCAAAGGTGATCTAGCAAACAAAAGAAATGAACATGAACAATTAAATAAACCATATAATAAATGTAAAGATATGGTACTGATATAATTGTGCATCCCTAATATTAATACAAATTCTAGCGTTGATTTTAAGTGCATTTAGCCCTCCGATGCATGAATTATTAAATCACAAAGTACATTTTTACATTTTTAATCAAGTGAAAAATCATGCCAAATTTTTTTTTTTTGTCATATTATATTTTGAGGGAGTTACATATATATCCACTGTAGTGGACGATCAAAGGTATAAAAAGTGAATCAATAGAACTAAATGTGTGGTCTTAAAAAACACGTTTTTTAAAATATTTACTATGTGAAAATGGTTTGAATACACGTAAGAACATTCAATAACAACAAGCTATGTCATGACGGCACAGAAATGTGAAGTGTAACAAACGAAATGTAAGAGTGTGTCTATGGGTCAGGGGTGTGTGGGCTATTCATACACATGATCACAAATACAAACACACACACTCGAACACAATCATGCGCACATATATCTGCACTCATACAGTATATATGTATACATGCCTACAGTTTTATATGACTTAATAAATAAATATAAACTGCATTGAAATAAATGCTAAAATCTGAAGACTATTTAATATTTATGTTCAATAAAACCAAGTGTAAATTATATCATCATTTTAATAAAACATACAAATAAGGCAGAACCTACAGACCCATAGGCAGAATTATACCCTTTGGTGCATGGTCTACTGTAGTGGACGGATATATTTTCTGTCACAGAGAAAAAATGTACAAGAAAAATTGTTAAAATCTGGATGAATCTATCTCTGACATCCTATTTAACTGAAAAATATTTTTTGTACCTGTGGTTTTCTGAGAATAAAAGTATTTAACACTTATTCCCAAGTTACATGGTGCCTCCCCTTTTACCCCGGCCATTTTGAATATATTATGCAATATCTCAAAGCAAAAAAATAGATAAAAAGACACCAATTAAATGGAATCGTACACAACACTTTGGGGGTTCGCCAGTTGGTGGTTGGGACATGAGGCTATCTTAAATGGTTCAAAATGGCTTCCAAATATCTGTCCACTGTAGTGACCACGATGCATCAGAGGGTTAAATACAATGTGTGTGTGATAGCCTAGGCTATATTGAGTCACTGTGGGTCATGAAGCCAAACCATTTGAGAACTGGTGAATAGCAGAGCCATAGCCAACATAGACACAGGGGGACAAGTCCCCATCCCATATTTAGAATTGGTCAAATCGTCCCCTCCAGTTGGTATTTGAAATTCTTGCACTGCTTTTACACTCTATTACGCAGCGTTCTGTTTGTTGTTAGGATGAGTTAAAGATCTTGCTGTAAAGTAATTGAGATGGCCAATCAAAATCAAAGTAGGCGGGGTTTACGGTTCACAGTAGCAGAGCGCGATTTCCAGCCAGCCTTGCCAGATTGGGTAGGTTTGATTTTGCGGGTAAAACATTGGTTTGGGCAGATGGACAAAATTTGGGCTGGTTTGGAGTCAGTTTTGCGGTTTTCAAAACTGTTTAGCCTAATTGGTTAAGAACAAAACCCAATTGTGCATGTACTGCATCTAATCAGTCATCGCCACGAGCACACTTTTAGCCAATCAGCGATCAGTACGTGATGATTCACGAGTGAGGGGTTTTAGCGCCACAAGGGCTCAGATTTTGAAAGTATAGCAGTATTTTCAAGTTATCACGATGCCAGAGTGGCCTAAATATAAGTTACACGCTAAAGAGTGGGAGAGTGACTCCACTCTCAAAACGTGAATTAAAGTTACACCTGAAATCGGAGCACGGTTGAATAAATGAATCAAAATCGAAACTGAATATCTGGGACTATAAGGTCCTGTCCTGCATCAGGACATGTTTTAAAAAGCTGGACTTGATTAGTTTTGACAGTGCAAAGTTCTGTATTATGATCCACGAAAGACTTCCTCTAGTTCTGTCTGAAATGAAAGAGTGACACGAAGGTAAGCACATTATTGTTGTTAATTGTATTTATTTATTTTTGTCACATTATCGTACAGTATTTATCGATGAATAACACTGTTTTGACTGTCATGGTGTGTGCATGAACGAGTGTGAAATACCTGCTAATTACGTTGCTTTTTCCAATTATGTTGGGCACTTTTTGCATTTAAATTGGCTGTTGAAACTGAAAATGATGCATGTGTTTTTGCGAGGATATCGGTGAATTTCTTGATTGCGTTTTGACATGGTGTCTGCCTGCATATAGTAATTCTCTACTGTATTTGCCCTGATTTGATCCGTTTTCCTGTGAAATGTATCTATTTTTATATTTTGTCGTCATCATTTTGTTTTAATGAGTTAAAATGGTCCTTATCAACCTTAATTGACATGGTAATAACATTCTATCACATTATTTTGACAGTTAAAGTTTTGGGTGAGTCTTGGTGAGCTTTACGGCTGGAAATCTTCCATCCAATCTGGCAACACTGTTTCCAGCGCGAAGCCTCAGCTTCAACTTTAAAAGAGTTAAGAGCCAGTAGTGTTGGGGAAAGTTACTTTTAAAAGTAATGCATTACAATATTGCGTTACTCCCTAAAAAAGTAAGTAATTACGGTACTTCGTTACTTTTTATGGAAAGTAATGCGTTATATTACTAACTGTATTTTGTTGATCCTTTTTAGGTTTTCTTAATGAAAATATGAAAAAAAGAAAAGTGTATTCACCTGGCAGTGCAGTATGTATCCTCCTGCCACCATATGAGGGACAAAGGCTGAACCCTCCTTTCCTATTACAATTGCTCTGTTTCCATTTACCCTGTCATTCCTTGTTTGTTTTTTTTCTTATATGTATAATATGGACATGTGTATGTTACATGTCCCCCCCCCCCTTTTTGTTTCTGTATGTTTGGACTCAGGAAAAACAAAGAAACAGTGCAAGTTTGATGTCAGATAGTCAGGCATGTGCTTTGATATTTTGCATAGTGGTGCTTATGTGTCAGAGTGGGCTTGATTTTATTTTATTATAAATTGTTAATTGTGTTTTTCTAAATTTAATTATATCCCAATGCTCAATGATAAGTATGTTTTCTGAGCTATTAACAGAGCTCTCTCAGACCCCAAACAAACTTCGGGATGATGCGATTCAATTTGGTCAGTGTTTTGTCAGAAAATCAATTAGCTATCACGGGAGAATATTTCCATCTTGTAACGGTCTAGGTCAGTGGCCTGTTTCCTTCTCGAGCAGGATGTTGTGCTGTGCTGTGTGCGTGCCTGCTGTTGCTCCGCTGGAGTTAATTATCTGCATTAATGAGAGCAACTCACTCATTTATCATTGTCTCATTCACTCTGCAAGTGCCTGACTATAGCTGCACTGCCCCCTATCAGGGTGTGTGTGTGTGATGCCAATTGTGGTCCACTGAATGATTTTGTTGTGCATTGCACTCATGTAGCTTTGATTTCCATATGATTCTACATTCAGCATTCGTAATCAGAATAAATTTAAATGTAACTATACATCCCATCATGAACACTTTTTTTTATGTATTCAGTCTCCATGCACCACAGGTTTTATTTATTTTGAACATGTTATTTTCAACCGTCCAGGGCAAGATGAAGGCCTCTTTGACTCTTCGTTGAATCACATTTCTCATATATCATCTGCTGTCCATTCTGCCGGTGGCTATATAACTTTACATTTAAGAGGCAACTGGCCAATCCCAGCCTCGCAAGAGC